TTTATATTAACAATTCAATATTTACATATATATTATATGCGATCTCCACTCTAGTATTTATTGTCAATGACTCTACTTCTACTCGTTTATCTAAATATCATATACAATTAAATAATATATTAACATTGATGGCTTACTTATAATTTTAAAATACGAAAAAAACTTATTTCTACATCTAGATATTTTAATTGTGTTTTCTACCTTACACTCAAGGGTATTCAAAATATGTTTTATGAATTGTTCAAAACGACTTCTGATTTAAAGCTAAATTAAATTAAAGATTTGTAGTTTGTAGTAATGGAACATAGTATGTCACAAATATAACCAATGCAATTTTAAACAAAACCTGTAAAATGAAAAAAAGTAGTGGGATTAATTCATTCCTAATTAAAAAAATATTTATTCCATTTTTTGAGTATACTAATAAAAAGTGTTGTATATTTAATCCAGATTATAATTTTATACACTTGTTAGGAAAGTTTGTAAGGTCAATTCTTCATGTATAAATGTTAAAAGTTAACATGGTCGGAGAAGTCCAAGCCAAGGCTTTACTAGACTAAGTAAAGATCCGGCCTTCTAAGGGTCTAAAACCCTTTAATGTGCTTAAGGTAAGAGCTTTTGTGTTTGGACTTAGACTTAAGAGAAATGATCGCCGTTTCGAGGATTTGGCTTTAATTAAAACATAAATGAAGGGAGTTTGATGCTTTTTTATTTCATTTTGTCATTCGTCCTTTGTATCACATTAAACATTTCCAGAGTATTTTTAAACAATGGTACAAGTCATTGCAACTGAGCCAATCTTGGTCAGTAACAAACGTGACACTTACTAATTTTCTGTCACATAGCATTCGCTGAAAGTCTGTTAACATAGGAAGATCAAGTAGTTTGTGTGATTCAAATTTAGTATAGTGGTCATCAAGGCTTTATGCTGTATACTGTTTAAATGTATTAACGTACAGACTTGAGGACGTAGGATCTGCACCATTTTGGTCCCTTAGGCATTAATATGGTAACTATAAATTTATGCAGCTGCTTAATCATACACAACGATTTGTTATTGATCTACAGGGTGTTCAAAAAAGGTGGGGACATATTTTACCTAGTGATTCCTTGGGTCAAAAAAAGAGAAAATCAAGATTACCATTTTTTCCAAAATCGCTTCGTTAACCAGATATCCGCAGTTTTGTATTTTTTACATAAACATTTTCATCTTTTAATATTTTCAACCGACCTTTATGAAACTTTGTATGTATGTTAAAGTAGACAAGACCAGTGTCATAAAAAAGTTCATCTCAATTCAACTTAAAGTTTCAAAATGGCGGCCATTTAAATATTTTAACTTAATTCACTCAAAAACGGTTAATGTTATGAAAAAATGTCTAGAACACTTTTATTTAGCATTTTTAATTCCCTATGAAACGATACACTAAGTTAAAAAAGATCGAATAAGAAATAGCTGAAATATTACGATATTTCTTTTGTAAAATGGGGCAAACCTGACTAGCTTCTGCCTTATTCTACCCTATTTTACAACTAAAAATCGTAATATTTCAGCTATTTCTTATTCGATCTTTTTGAACATGGTATCGTTTCATAGGGCATTAAAAATGCTAAATAAAAGTGTTTTAGACATTTTTTCATAACATCAGCCGTTTTTGAGTAATTTAAGTTAAAAGATTTAAATGGCCGCCATTTTGAAATTTTAAGTTGAATTGAGATGATCTTTTTTATGACACTGGTCTTGTCTACTTTAACATACATATAAAGTTTCATAAAGATCGGTTGAAAATATTAAAAGATGAAAATGTTTATGTAAAAAATACAAAATGGCGGATATCTGGTTAACTAAGTGATTTTGAAAAAATGTTAATCTTGATTTTCACTTTATTTTGACCCAAGGAATCACTAGGTAAAATATGTCCCCACCTTTTTTGAACACCCTGTATAAATCATCAATTTTCAGTGATCATAGTAAATATTAAAGTCTCACAAAATATAAATGTCGGAGAGTAAATAATGTTGAATGATGCACAAGAATTTCGTCAAAGCGTTGATTGTGTGTGTGGAATATTTTGGGAGGTTGGAACATGAAAACACAGGAATTATTTTATCGCTTTCCTACCACTAAAATGTAAGTACAAGAAGCTAATTTTAATTCGAAACATGTTCTTCCAATACACCTTTTTTAAATATATGGATTGGTATTCAATATATTGACTGAGAAAACAGCATTTTTTGACGGTTTGGTACTGGACCTAAATGTTCTTGATTATTATTAAGTTTAATAAATGAACTTGACTAATGGAACAACTTGAAACAAAGTTACCCAACGCATCACACTTCATTCCACACTCATCCCTCGCCACGTTTAGAATAAATATCTCAATTGGTAATCTAATATAATATCTTTAATACGTTTTATTTACAATAATTTACGTCGAGCCAATGACAATGTTATGCAGGCTGGGAGATCTACCTGTTAAATGCGTTTTCATCAAAATTTACTGTTTTTACACATTTGTCACGTAGGCCTATGGAATTACTTTTATCTGTTAATAATATAAAATTAAAGTGGCGTGTTTATAGAGGCCTGTGAATTTTCTATAATCCAATAACCTTTTCGAATTACTTTATTTAGAATTACTTTGAACACCTAATACTTTTTTACTTGATAAAGTAGTTAACTATGACGAATCTCGTGGTTATAGGACGAAAGCTAAGGTATCGATAGGACAGTTAGAAGATTAACAGCTACGAAACGGACTTAAAACCGAGCAAACTAAATGACTTAAAGATCAAATGAAACTACAATGGAAATACAGTAAAATTTAAGGGACCATCAGAGTCTTACTAGAAAAACTATGTTAGCTACTATTGACACTGGTCAATTTAATATTTTTTTGGTTTAAGTTGTTTAAACTATAAAACATAATCACATATAAATAGCACAATAAAGATATTGGTTTACTGTAGGAGAGAGGGATAACCCTATAAGACGTCGCCTCTAAGTGGGATGAAACTTGTATGAATAATTCATACCTGAAGAGAGAGTGGCGAGAGAGATGTCTGAATACGTTTTATATCTGAGAGTGAGGAATTCAAGAAACAAATACTATATGAGATAAAAGTATTTCACTAAGTAAACTAAATATCCATGAATTAAATGTTATGGTACTCCGTACTACGGATAAACTGTTTCAGCACCTCGTTATCTGTAATAAGTATCGCATTGGAGAGTAGGGTATTGTTACATTTTATTTTTCAATATCTGAAAACAACATTTCGGAATAAATTACTTCAAATAATTACTTACTTTGTAAATTTTGGAGCATTTTTCGACACAGAGTCGTATTGTTTTACAGTGGCATTGGTACTGACGGCTAAATCAAAATACTTAAGTAAATTCCATATTCCCTGGAAGATGTTTTGGTTATTTCGAAATAAGGGAGAACATTTGTTTAGTTTTACAAGATTGTTGTTTAGAAAGATTAAAAGATCATTCAAAATTCAGTTTTTGGAGTAGTTACTTCCACAAGAATAAAAACTTTTAACTTTTTCAACTTTATGTTAGTTTTATAGGATTTCTTTAGAGAGGTAATGGTGCATCATTTATCCTACTCTTACTACTATTTATTACTATTTATTCTATTGTACGTAGGATAACCATCAGTTGAAATTCATGAGACAAGATGCATTTTACTTAAACAAGTAATAATTAAAAGTTTCATATAAAATGCTATATAACTCTGTACAATTCTGGAAGATAAAAACTCTTAAAGCGGTTTTTGGAAAATGCAATAGCAATGGAATGTAATATAGAGAAGATGGAGATAAGCAGACTTTTCAGTAACTTTAGCTCTTGAAACTCTCAACCTGTCTTTCAAGATCGTACAATACTATTTAAAATACTAAGATTAATATAATATATTAATTCCACAACAAGTTTTGTAACCGTTACATGCATGATTGCTTTGGAAATAATAACGGAAAAATTAACCTTGGAAGTACAACTTGCTCTTTAGTTATTGCAGCCAAGTTATTGCATTGCCGCTTGGCTTGTAATTATTTTCAATACGCAGAGGCTTTAAGAAAAGCTTTGAAAGTCTCGAAATACGTTTAATCTATGATTATTATACATTGATTTACTATGTATTGGGTTGATATGGTTCAGTGGTGCTCACTGTTTTCTTCAAAGTACATTGTATCAGAAATAAGCCATTATACGGGTTAACTGTGAACTCTCACCTACTTCCAGAAACTTTCACTATAAATACTTAGATTGTCAATATTTTAAAGATGGTAGACACAAATTATTAATGTCACAATGGTAATAAAATTTGACTGATCACATTAAACATTGTCATCTCCAGGCCCAATGGCTGTCGAAGACTCAGGTATAACCATTTTACACAGTAAAATTGGATCACTAAGTTCTTCGTATCATTGTAACATCATCTTTGTGCCTATGGTATCTTAATCTTCTAAAGGTCACAGATAAGATTCAAACCAGCTACGACCATTAAAAAATCTTGTTAGTCTGCAGCTGAGCTTTCTAAATTCATTAGCATAGCTCCTATTTTTAACATCAAGCAATTTTTAGTCACTCTGTAAGCAACACTAGAATGCGGCAATATGACCTGATTTATGTGAAATCTTAACAGGGAAGTAAATTATTCAGCCTATACAAATTAAAGTCCATTCTTATAACCCTTCCAATCATACTTGGTCTTTGTTAACCAAACAAAGTTATTGTAATGGGATTGAATTGGTATTTGTTTAAGAAAAGAAGTACTTTCAAAATAAGAAAAACGCGATAAAATCTTTGTTTACATGTGAGGTTATATTTCCCAGATTATTTCCCCCTCTAATAAAGGTGAAGGCGAATGACAGGTGCAACAATGGGGTGTTGAGGGGGAGAGTTTGGGGGGGGGGGAATGAGGGAACGACAAAAGAGAAATCGGCAAATATTCCCATCCCAGTCCCAGTCTGCTGTCGGCAGCCGTGCAGGTGGTATCGTTACATTTCCATGTTGTACGGATACCCATTGTTATCAGAAGGTAAGTATTTAAAGGTGCGCTCAACCTCAGCTCGTATTTCTCAGTACGATGTTGCTTAACGCCGATGTTCCTATACCATTGCATTGAAGAGCGTTTGCAAGCCTTTTGGTTTTGGGTGATTACATCGTTAATCCTTAAACCTTTTAGTAAAATAACTGTAGATTCTTGTTTTTAAGAATCTATTGCATTTCCCCCCGTTTGTTATTTAATTTTTTCTCTTATAAAAACTTGTTATTTAAAACTTATGATAAAAAATATATTGTTACCAACCTTTTAGCCCACCATTTTTTTTTAATATCAACATTTTAAAAAGCGCCGGACCTACAATAATATTTAACGAAAAATATGACTCCAAGGTCTTTTAAATCGGTTCAAAATTGGGGCTACAAACAGTAAGAACAAAAACCCTTGCATTTGCGCGTGCCGGACGGGTAGAGTGAAGCCTTAACTGTTTGTAAATAAAATGGAATCTATAATATTTTCACGTGAATTGTGTTTCTGACCGTTTTCCATAGCAAACTGTTTAATTTGCACAATCAATATATAATTAAATAACCAATCATCCCTATGACGAGGCTTAGACAATTTGTTTTAGGTTTAGAGTTTCCTTCATTAGTTTTGTTTTACAGGTACAGTACTCAACAATAAACGAGTTGATACTCTACTATGCGTTTCAGTTTAAATGTAAATCATCTATACGTTCTAATGATAAAATATGAAATACAAATGGACTTAAGAAGTATTTTGCTATTGAGTTTTTTAATTGATAACACATTTTTTACTGATTGTAAAGAGGATATATGTTGCAATATATAGGGTGTCCCACGAAGAGGTTTCTATTTTGAAGCAATATTCTAGACTAGACTCATGATACACAATACAAATTTGAAAATCCACAGCTACAACAAACACATATAAAAAATACTCTCACCCCAGCAAACCTGCAGACTAAGAAAGTTAACGTTGGCTGATTAGATTTTTGAATTAGTTACACATCTGGCTGTATAGTATTTAGATAAATATATTCTTAAACATGTCAGGTTACTTCCCCAATATCATCATAGGTTAAATTAGTACTTTGGTTTGCTGCTGCAGGGAAAGTAATAAGGTGTGGTTTTTAGTATAAGCCTACAATTTTAAAAACTTAATATAAAATAAATAAATTTGCCAAAATTAGTTGTATATTGATAACATACACACTGCGACAGTTTACTTATTCTCCGTAAAAATAACATGTGAATTTTATATTTGGGAAGTTGGATTTTTATACTTATTTTGAATATTATAGTGAGTTTCCACGGAAAATCTAGGAAAATCCAAGGAAATAAAGCTCCCGAAGATATTATCTTTGACTATTAATACAACTTCAGTATCTAATAGTCAATGATATTATCAAACCAAATCTATAGGGGTATGTTGAATAAACATTTAGAATAAATACTTAAATAGATTTATCTTAGGTCTGGCACAATCATGGTGAACACGGTTTCAATTTTAGAAAAATATAAATACAGTAGTAACAAAAACTATCTACTAAATGTGTGACTCCAAAATATACAGCAATATTTTTCGATCCGAGTACAGAATAATAATGCCAATTTCAGGCGTGTAACATACATTTAGAGGTAACCAACAGTTTCTAATTTACAAACGTTGACAGTGTCGATTGTTGCATTTGTTGGAATGCTTGTTTGTTTTTACCTTTAACGTATTTAAAGCATGAAATTAATCATAACCAATTATTACTGTTTTTATAATAGGTAAAATGTTTAATTTTATCCATAATGTTTTCTTTATCCTACCACATAAAGGGGGGTGTGCAGGGTTTAGTGTAACCAAAACAATATATAAACGTAGCGAAATAGCAAAATTCTCACTGCTGATTTTGTTGTCTCATTAGCAACAAAACAGTAAACTATATTTTGTTTTCACCAGTTATATCACATACAATAGAGTAACTACATTAAATTTCCTATACAGTATTATTTGTGGTTAAAGGTGGAAATTAAATGCGCCCAATCTTTAAAATAGCTTCAAGTGTTTTGGGAAAGTAATTGTCGTTAATTAAGTTGATTTTTAGATTTATACTTTATAAAAACAGTTAATTAATTTGCTATAAACCACTGACAAACAATGGTATTATACATCTAACTTAGCTATTATTTTTTAAAGGGTTTCAAGCGTTGGTGTACTATAAACAAAGTGAAATCTTTAAATATTGTTGCATTTTCAGCCTGATGTATATTTGCATGTATATATATATTTGCATGTATATTTATATGTATATATAATTGCATTTCAAGTTAAGAGCCAAATATCAAATTAGACAATCATCCATGATAACAGAGGCCAAATTGATACCAGTTCTGCATAGTGGTCTGAAGGATCTAATTAGGGTAATGAGTTAAGAATATAATATAATATTGACTGGGACAGTGGTGTCGTCATGTAATCTAGCTATTAGGAGGTCACGAATTGTGGATATTTATAGGCATGCGATACTTCCTGGTATGGATTAAGGTCCGAACTAGTGAGTACTACAACTATCCGCAGGAATATTCTGATAATTAGACAAATTCGTTAATACCAAGGCAAAAATGTGGTTCGGATTTCACTATGACTTGTAGGTCCCTTAGTTGCCATTAGCTGTATGGGCTATTAAATAAACGCTGTGTCTAAGGAATATGTCGGCCTTAGTCACTAACAAGACTACAAGATCGCGGCACTCATCCTTTACTCATATTTGGGTTAAAACACACACATAGTGGCGTCCCAATCTTAAATAAATTATTGATTAAATTTACCAATTAGTTATGGCAATTAATATAAAACCTTATTGTAGACTAGTATATCGTGTAATTTGATCAATAGAAACAAAATAAAGCTGTGAAAAAAGACAAAATGACAAAATAGCCAATAGCATTTTGCATTGTTGTAATTATAAGCTTTCCAACTAATTTGCTGTTTATACTTGTAATGGTAATAATTGGAACCAAGACTTGATGATAAAATCGCTTTTATAAAAAAATTAAAGATTTCTGGAGGAGAAATTCTTAAACAAAATCCTACTTAAGCAAATCCTCGATTTAAGCGGCATTCGTTGTCTTTATACTTGAAAAATCCGAGATTCGTTTAGAAGTATTTCATATCTTTCAGGGTGACTTTTTAACTCCAAAAGAGGGGTTTAACATTATCTTGAAAAATGCACACTCGAGTTGCATTATCATGGCTTTATTTAAAGACATGATAATATTTATTATTATTATTATTATTATTATTATTATTATGGTATTTACACTTAGCCACAGTTTCGTAGTTACAAACACTTAAACAAGAAAATATATCTAGTAGAATCACAATAATAATTATTATTATCATAAATTCATAGAGTAAACGCAACAACGATGCAATGCCTTATAGTCTAAGACCAGTAGCATAAAACTAGGCCTGACCTGGGCAAAATTAATAACAAAGCAAAACCAACTGGAATGTGTTAGGCATGCATCCCTTAACATTTTATGAAAATTCCCAACTTTTCCCACTGTAGCAAAATCCGCCATCTTGTAAAATGGTGGACAATCTTTAAAACACTGCAAGGTTCCACTTAAAAACTTATTGTTCTCAAACCATTCCACCCAGAAAAGTCCAATTAGTCTTAGATTCTTTGCCATAATATTATCTACAAGAATATACCATATTATATAATAGTAATATAACTTTAACAGTGAAAAAAAATTAAATTTTAAATTAAGTTAAAACATTTTGACATGTTTTCACTATTTTTGGGGTTTCGCCATAATTATTGAGGAAATGCAGATTTTACATTTTAGCAAACATGTAGGGCTTTAAATTCCGCTTCATTTTCATATATAATAAAACAATGTTTGAGCAATATTGACGTAAACGGCGATTGTCAAAGTACAATCTCATGTAACGCAGCTGTGGGACAAAAATGTATAGCAAATTAAATATTTTCTGTTATTGCTAAGCAATGTCATCAAATTATTTATACTTACATGAATAGTTTCAAATTATGTCTCTTAACGTTTTCCGAGAATAATTAAATTTTTCCACTTTTACAAAGTCCACTACCTTAGAAAATGGATGGTGCGAATCCCCCAAAGTACCCATGAACTTTTGTGAAAACTACAGGTAACAATAATAATAATATAATATAATAATATCCTTATATATCCACATATATAATACGTGAAGGCGATTTCTACGAAACGCTACTCCTCCGTTAATAATGGACAGGTTTTTACAAACGATGTGTCAAAATTAAGTATTTTTGTGTAGCGCCCCCTTTACCAGTTAGTAAAACCAGTAGTAAATAGGCTTTGCCCCACATTCTATCAAAATCCCAATGTATATCTTATGAAGAAGATTTACTAACGCAGCTGTATAATGAAGCTTACTTCAGTATTGGAATTTGTCAATTGTAAATATATTTTGCGTCAGGGAACACATAATTTTGTTGAATGTTTTAAGTTGTATTGAACCTTTCGCAACCGGTTTTTAACATTTCCAATGATATGTTATGGGATGAACGGTGTGAAGCAAGAGAACTTAGTAACAAATTGGATAGTAATTGAAAAACAAACAGTAAAACGTTAGCAACGTCAAACTGTGTATTTAGTGATAATAAATTTCCTGTTAAGAGATAAATGACCAGGTGTAGAACACAACTCTGGTAATCGTGAGTTAATAGTAGGTTATGCAAGATATTCCGCCAACCAGAGAGGAGTATTTCATAAGCCCCTCCTCTAAGCGTTACACCTACCAGACACGTGTATCAGCTGACGTGATGGCGCCAGCTGTTGCTGTACTAACAATTAAATTGTCAACTGTTCATAACAACTAATATAATTTACGAGTTGTACTTCTGTGCCAACGAATGAACCCTCTAGTATAGTTTTGAGAAATTATTGATTGTGGGGTTACTGTTAAATCTGGAATTCCTTGACAGGGGGTATGTCAGTTAGCTGTCTCAGCCTTAT